AGCAGAGCAACAGTCACTGGGCTTTGTGTTCCATAGCCTATAATGGCTTAACAGCCCTCCTCCTCCTCTCTTCACTGCTGCACAACTTTTTTATTAAGATAACTCATCAATTAATACCATTTCTGAAGCAATGGCACTATTCTGTTAATTATGTAATAAGTCTAAATATGTTTATCTCTTACAAAACTTCCCATATTCAGCTGTAAGAGACAACTGTTTCAGGACTTCTGTGCAGTCATTAATGGAATGCAAAGATGCTTCTAACACCAGCAGTCCTGTCTTCAGTTTCTAATGCAAGCTCATTCTAATTTGGTTTAGATAAAGAAATAGCATTGCAAAAGTCATCATCTTTAACAAACATGCACAGAAGGTTGATTTTGCTTTAATGGTACTTGCTTTGATACACAAGAAGGAAATAGTCGCTAAAGCTACTTGGAAGCAAGCTCCCTTCTCTGAACTGTAAACAGTTTCGTAGCGCATCTCTTGTGAGGAAAAACCAGCGAGACAGAACAGGGAGCTGGGACTTTGTCTCTCCCTCAGTTCCAGTGCAGTTCTTTTGGAAGGTTACACCTCAAAGAGCTGTGCCAGCATCGCTGTCTGTCAGAAACTCTCGCATTCTGATTTTCATGTTCAAGTGTAAAGTGTATTTGACAAGAGCAAGAATTAAGACTTCTCATCTTCGGTTTAAGCTCTGAAAAGCATTTTAAGTGTTCATTTAAATATAAGGTATAAGCATACAGACTGAAGTCTTGTGTTTTCTGCATAATACTTGGACAACTGAGGTGGTAAAAAAAAAAATCAGTTTGAGTTACTTCAGATACTGATTGGAACAGGTTTTCAAATAATTGAGCAGGATTCCTAGTCAGTCAGTTACGTAATAGTCTTATTCCATAACCATGCACAATAGCAAAGAATATAAAGCATTTTTAATTACTGTAATATGCAGGAGTTTCCACGTTCCAACTACTGAGCTTTTAGAAAACTAGCAGCAGCTCAGGCAGTGTTGTATGTGCAACCGAAATTGTTTTTCTGCAGGACGAGTTCAATGGTAAGACTCTGATCACTCACATGCACTAATGAAAGACGGCCCAAGATAAGTAACCACACAAAAGAAGTCATTTCCCAGTCAAGAAGTCATCAGTAGTTACAGAGGTAGATTAAGAAGAGCCTGAGGCAAGAGAACGTGGAACTCGGCTGCAGTGCTTACAGTCACGCCAATACGAGCAATAACTTGTCCACTGCTGGTGAAATACTGTCCAGGGTAGATGTTCCCACACAACAGCGAAGGTGCCTCTTTCTCAGAGTTATCATTTAGTAGTAACACTGACCTGAGGTGCTGTTACTCCAGAAGGCTCAAAGCCTTTTGCCTCTTCAAGTAAGTTTCTTTCTTCATTTGGCTAAAAGTAAAAAAACATAGGGTCACGGAACATTTAAGGGGTTGCACCGACTTGCTTCAACCTGAATTTACACAGCACCAAGTGTTTTTCTTCCAGAGCCAGTAAGAGCTCCCACTTCTTACTTACAGTGACAAGGGGGTATTCCCTGGCTGGCCGCAGGTCAGCAAGGCTTTGCTTAACGTATTCTTCAGCAACAAAAGCTTCCTTTAATCCAGGGAAAAGATTTTCATATTCTGTAGGATCAGCAAGGGACTCGGCAGCTTTCTGATTGACTTTAGAGAGATTCTCCCGCCACAGTTTAACCACCCTGGAGATGCAAGCCGTATCTGTTACACACAGCTGAGTCTGACAACACTACTCATGCCCTGCGTATGCGCTGAAGTTACCTTGAAACTTGGCTTGGCAAGTACGTCCGTGCAAGAAAAGCAGCTTCTGGGAGACGCCCGGTTTTAATCAGGAGTTCCAAACATGAGTCAAGCCTAAAAGATTATTAAATTTACTGGTTAAAATGACATTTTAAAAAGACACATTTTTGTATCAGATTAGGTGGTTATTCTATTAAAGTGCTTTTATTTCAAATTTTCACATTGGCAGCCACCATGAAGTAGAATCAGATTTTCTGCAAGGGCACGTGCCACAGTCTCTCCATGAAGGTTTAAGTCAGCTGTAGTTACCCATTTGAAGAACCCGAGGTTCTCTGCATTTGGGAAAGCAGAACATAACAACCTGAACCTCTTGCTTGGTACTTACTTTCCCTGCAGGAAGTAGCTCATAAATGCAACATTGTTCTTGCCATCTTTTTCTGCTCCTTCAGCTAACTTGTTCACCATGTTGGCATTTCCTGAAGCCGTAGCCAGCAGCAGTAGCCCTCCATAGTCCTGTGCATGGTGGAGACACTCCTGGGCTAAGCCAAACTGGCATTTACTAATGGCAAGCTCAGCAAGTTGCTTCCATTTCTGTTCTGACTAATGGTACAAAGAGGGAAGGGGGAAGAAAAAAACAAAAAGAAATAACTCTTGCATTTTTGAACAGCATTTAAAGATTTTCAGAGCATTCAACATGAAAATGTGAGTTTACTTGGGAAGGTACTACATCCCATCATGGCATTTGTCTTCCCTCTGAGATACTACGATCACTGCAGCTTCACAGCATGACACAGTGAGCGTTCGACGCAGATCATTACACAGCTATACCGCTACATACACAGTTTTTTGTTAAACGTGGAGAGGACAGGTAGAAATAACTCCAGAAATTTAAACAGTAACAATCTCTTAAAGAAAGCTCCCAAGTTAACCTTCAGAATGCAAGAAAGGCATTTCTGTCTGCAATGAAGTTAACATTCCTTATCACTGACTTCATTGTTTTAGAACAGGAACCGAGAGACCAATTCCCTGAATAACGGCTAGGGGACAAATCACTGCCTGTCAGTCTTCCTAGCACATTAGTCTAAGCTTGCCAAGGCTGGAACAAAGGCCCAGAGGCTTCGGTCCTGCCATTCCTCCTCACTGTTCAATACTGGAGATTAGGCGTTGGTTCTTGGTTCAAATTCTGTATTCTCCAGGAGTTCCTGTAGCTTTCTGAGCAGGCAACATTGTCCTACCCCATCCCACGGCTTAGATTCCTTTGAATTACACGCAGAAGAGCTCCATCACAGCAGCTGGAGCCATTTATATTGTGTTCAGAGAGCAGTACTGCATCCCCCATACCACTGTCTCCTCTTACAGGGTCTCTTAAAACGCATGCCAATACTGAGAATTAGTAAGAACCATCTAAAATGATAC